GGCACAATCAGAAGAGGATATTTTACAGAAGTTTCTTTGGATGTGTTCTTTTAAAATTCATTTTTAAAGATGACGCGATGCTGGTTCATTCTTGAGCCTTAGTTTCTCTCTTTTAATCTTATTAGTATATCTAATATTGATCATCAGAATTAGCTTGGTTATCCATGTATTACTACCACCGTTCTTTTCTGATTGCAACATTAGACTTTTTGTACTATTCTCATATTTTACTTTGACTATATTTTATGCATTAACTATTAACGTATCATAAATTATTTTTTTTAAAAACATTTTTCAAATTCCGCTCATTATAAATTTTCAAATCCAAATTATTTACCTTTTTAATTACTAATAAGAAATGAAAGATATTAATATGATCAAACTTGTACGTTGACAAACGTGACAAGTGGAAATATACTTCATGGAAAATATATCCGATACTGATAGTACCACATCTAATTTCAATTGAAATATTTAATTTTCAAAGTGGGTATTGAACATACGAAGTACTCCATACGAAGTAGTAGTATTTCTTAGTGACACTCTTATTTCTGATTTGAATGAACTACAATTTTACTTTTGTAAAGCATAACCGTCTGTCTTTGAGAGAACATCAAATATACTGAGAGAAAGAGGTATAATGTGCTAATCATCTAGCTCGTGGCTCGTGCTCATGCTACTCTCCGTCCTGGAAAAATTCATCATATGGACAGGCCCGTCCTGACATGTTATGGGCCCGGGACATTACAAATACACTGGGCCTCAGGGATAGTGCAGGAATGTCTATAGTGCTCTCTTTGCTATAAAAATCTAATACATATAATTTAAAATTATACAATTTTACAGTCCAAATACTAGTATAACTCATAAAAAAACTAACATAGCATATGGTTAGAAAATATATATATATATATAGAGGGTATTTGATAAGTGACATTCCAGGATGCAATATACCTAAGAGCCGAGTGAAACAAGTAGTGCTACTATTAGGTGCAATAAAAACTTTAAATTAAGGAAAGTTGTGAAAGTTATACTACGTATCTCGTATAAGGAGTACCTTTTCATATTTTTAAATTACATTTTCACTAGACAAAAACAAATTCTACGTTTCTAAATTATGGACACTAAAGTTCAATCTTTCACTATATGAGAGAATCGGAAGAAATTTGTGAAATATATCAATGAATACTGACTGGATAAGCATAAGACATGTACACTAAAAAATTAAAATTAATGTAATAATCCGTAATGATTCAAAAGAAATGATGAAATATGTTCCTAATGAATTCTAATATGGATGTTTCAAAATTATAGACTTGTATCGCGTAGATGTTGAATAACTAATTAGAAGTATCTAAAAATATAAGTTTGATTTTATTTTTTACTTTTTATAGATTTAGGATGTATATATAATTAAAATATCGATGTAAATTTATGGGCCCTACTGGAGCAGAGGGCCCTGGACGCATGCCCTTCCTGCCCATGCCCTAGGACCGGCCCTGCATATGGATTTTTCTTGTTCAATAATGGCAAATTTTGGACGATTATTTTAATCATTATATTTGTACGGAGTATATAATTTATAAATTTTATACTTTTATAAAAATGTATTGAATGATGAACATCTTGATATAATTTTATATTCTGAATGATTTCGTATTAAGAAATATCATTAGTCAAAAGTGATTGTCATTAATCAAGAGTAGTCAATTTGACGAACCTTTCCGGGATTTGATAGAGTATATAGACTCGGACCCCGGGTCTCACGACTATTGGGCCCGGACAGCGGCCCACATACGCTCAGTAGATAGCATTTATCTCATTGTACACTCTATTTTATTCATGTATATTCATTAGAATAGATTAGATACCATTTATTAGCCATTTATTGGCCTTTTATTGTAACTGGGCCAGCCAGGCCCAAGCCTGGAAGCCCAACCCTCTTTTCTCCTATAAATACTCCCTATGGGAGCCATGTAAAGGGGACTGATTGGATGTTTGATTGGAATTCATTTATACACATCACTTTATCTCTCTAGCTCTCCCTTCTCACTAGATTAAATAATCTATCAGGATTAATGAAGTATTATTGTTTAGAACTTTAGATCTCTTAGTATTATACGTAGTAACATACTTTGTATAATGGACAGAACTGTCTAACTTCATCATTTGAAGAACGTTTATAAGTTTATTAACATACTTAGTATTATGGTTTAGATCTCTTAGTATTATACGTAGTAACAAACTTCGTATAATGGACAGAACTATCGAACTTCATCATTTGAAGAACGTTTATAAGTTTATTAACAATGACACTTCTTAGTTATTTATTTGGGGATTTTGAATTGTCAAAACACCAGTATTATTTCTCAGTTATAATTTAGTTTTATTTAGGGTAATTTTTACAACAATGCTTGATGTACCCACTATTAATTATACCCACCTTATACCCACCATGTTTATGAAATGTTTTTTTTGTTTGTGAACCCGGTTCACAGACAATATTTTGTCTGTGCAAAATATTGTCTGTGAATCGGAATTCACAGACTACAAAAACACTTCACAAACATAGGTGAGTACAAAAATGTGTATAAGAGTGTGTACAAACATAATTTTTGTAATTTTTATATATAACAAATGATGTTTTGACATATTCTAAACCAAATAAGTAAGAAGTGTCGATGTAACTCCTATTTCTCAATTATGGCATTAATTTACTCTTAACAAATGATGCTTTGACAAATTATGTAATTTCGTTCATAACAAATGATGCTTTGACAAATTCTAAAACAAATAACTAAGCAGTATCAATGTTTTTCCTAAACATACGAGTTTAAAGACAAGAGTTCAGTGTATGACAACGTCACAATATGACTCACAATATGACAGTAAGATGTTAGGGCAGCACGAGTTACTCCTATTTCAGGGGGGTTATAACCTCTCCTCTTTGATATCATAGTGTAGTTTAGTGTTTTACTCCGTAACTTCTATTCACAAAAACCCTTTTGTTGGTATCCAAGCTTTAAAGTTATAGTTATAGGGAATTGATTGTACCATGAATAAAAAATTTATCATATTTCTAATCATCATGACAATTTAATAAAATAAAGGTATATAGAAAAAACCAAAGCGATGATTATGAAATGTTTTTAGGGCTGGCTAATAGCATATTATATAATCCCTCTGTCCCACTAGATTTTACCAATTTTTCCTTTTTGTTTGTCCGAAAAAATTTTGCCACTTTTTTTAAAGCAACAAAATTAGTGGTTTGGTTCATTTCCGATCTATCTTCTCCACAAATCTCAACCACACATTTTTTACTATTTTAATTTTTCACTCAACATAACTTGACAAAATTGAGTGGGACGAAGGTAATAGCTTAAATGTAGCAGAGCCCCACTAATTATGGAGCCCCATTCTCTTAAAAAATTAGTAGTATAAAAGTAGTATATACATAATATAATAGCTAAGTTTTTTTTAATTTACAGTGAATTATAATATTTGATTATAGACTGTTGGGATTATTTCACTTTTAACACGGAGAAAAAAAATTGCATAATCTTTTGCTTATAATGTACTCCATATTACATTTAGATAAGGACTCAAAAATTTATACTAGTATATTAGACGGCCTGAATATTTTAAATTACCATGATATTATTTCTACATTTCCCAAAAACAGAAGAGTAAAGATATCAAATTAAATGAAATTTTAATATGAGTAAATGCTTTGAAATATCGTCTTCAAATAGTTAACAACTTAACACTGGTCAAAAGGAACGATCAGCTTCCATTGCGTATTTCGTCTTGGCATAATCCAAGTAGTCCGTAGTAAACAAGCCGGACTAATCAAGTTCGAACATAGACGACTCCGCAAATGACGTTCATACAACTATACAAGGATAATTTGTGAAGTACTTCGTAGGTGGTATATTTAGGTTTGATATGGTTTTATTATAGGTTTAATTCTAGGTAAACGTGTTTAAATATCGCCTGATATTATTTTGTTTGACTTTGTTTGATTGTGTACATCTAATTTCGTATGATTTCTTTCAGTCTCAAACTAAAATGTATCCAAAACAATAAGACCAAAGTCAACCCTCAGAGTTTTTTAAAGAGAATTACTCCCTCCGTCCCAAAATTATTGTCTCGTTTGCTTTTTCACACAGATCAAGAAAATGATACTGTAGCGACACTGTTTGGCACTGTAGCGACACTGTTTGACACTATTTTGCACTGTTTGGCACTGTTTGGTATAGATTTCTTTACCAAATAAGGAAGTTAAAGAAACGGGACAATAATTTCGGGACGGCCCAAAAAGGAAAGCGAGACAATAATTTTGGGACGGAGGGAGTAGTTCATACCTCATATACTAGGGCATTAGTTAGTGTCTAACTATCTATTTCAAGATGGAGCTGGATGACTGTTTTAGAGTCCTCCTAATGGGAATGTTTTAATCTCAAACACGAGCATATAAACCAAGCCAAATCGCATTAAATCTAAACGGACTGAATGTGAGATACTCTGGGCTGAATATGAATTATATTAGGCTTAAATATTAGAGGGGTGGACTGAATGTGAAAAATGAAAAAACTTACATTAAAAAAATTGAAAAAATTTTAAGTTGCCCTGTGCTTCAGCATACAGTAGCTCGTACATAGATCTTCCCCTGATTTCAAACCAAATCAGACTCCTATGTGTGACGCGCCCGTTTTATAAAACAAATGAAACTTGAACAAATCAAATTGGAAATTTTTAAGCATATCCTTAATCCGTTGCTAGTTAAAGTTTTAGTAACTTTAATGACTGATTCAGATTATAAGTCAAATACAAGAAGACCAATTTAAGAGAGGAAGTAATCTAATCTAATTGCATAAAAGTTTGTATCAATGTGCAATGCACACTACCAATTCCCAATTTTGTTTATTAAAAGAAAACCGAGTTGAGACGCATTAAAATTTACAGTACTAAGGATTTTAAGATCAAAATAATGTTTCCATCTGTTTTGAAGTTGTTTCAACCGCCTCACACAATGTTGTGTATAAAATGTATAGCTCCAAAGTCTGGAAATTCAAAATCTAATTACATAAAAGTTAAATTGTTGAACTAAACTTATTCCATATTTACATTGATTGATAAACTGGATTTGAAATCTTATCCCCATCTGCATGAGTCTAAGATAGTTTGGAAATTCAAAATGTTGTTGAAGACATTAAAATATGATGCCACTATTAATTGCCTTCCCAACTTACCCAAGTTTATGAGATCTGAGAAGAAGACAGGGGAAAGGCAAATGCCATCAGTAGTCAATTCCCATTAAATGCCATAACTGCATTTCCCTTTTCTTACACAATTTTCTCCGGCCTTCCATTTAATGAGCGCCAGAATGCCCCCCAAACTCATTAATACCGCCCGTATTTGTCCAGCCCGATCCGGAATCTCCACGGGTCACCCCATTACTGTACGGTCCCCGATGGTTCAGTCAATTTATCTCCTTGTCCCACGTGCCGCCACCCTCTGTTCTATCCCCGTCGGTTGAATCTCTCCGGCGACAGCAGCGCTTCCGGATCGCCGCTTCTCAGCCGGCTCGAGGAGAAAAATCCTGCCGCCGCTGATGATCTGATGAAGATTGGGCTAGCGAATGACTTGGTCCGTCTCGATGAGCTGCCTCCTCCACCGGTGGAGCCGGGGAGAAAGCTTACACTTCTCCGCCGGAAGAAAGGGGACTTCATTCCTCTGTATTGCCGGAATGAGAACACTCTAGGCTTCGTCAGCGAGCTGAACGGTGACGGACGCTTGTTCCAGAAGCTTCCGCTTCCTCCTCTGCGGTAGCGCCAAGGAGACGCGGTGGTCACTTCCAAAATTAGCCTCTCCGATCCAATGCTCCTCTCGAATCCGAACGAATACGACCGTTTCAGAAGGAAATCGGGGCCGTTGAAACGGTCCTCTGATTGGTTGTTCCGTCTCGGCGATGCTTCCTGCGTGATCTCTGATTCTGGAGCCACGTCTGATTCTAGCGGAATTTCCGCTAACGGTTCCAACATTGCGCTTTCAAACATTAAGTCGTCTAAGCTTGGCCGTATTCTCGCTGCCATCAATGGAGTGAACGGCGAATCTGGCCTGAGAATTCCGGCACGACACAACGGACAATTCGCGTGAGAACGGAGCCATATATCGATACAGTCCACGTGAAACGCGTGCGAGCACACAGGAAGCGTGCGGACGTAGTCGTCTTCTTCGAATTCAATCAAACAAACAGCGCAGTCGTGAACGGAGCTTTTCCGGCTGTAAATGGAGAGAGGAATTGTTTTGATCACGGACTCGTCGAGTCCATACGGAGAGAACAAGTGAAATCTGTCTGTATGATCAAAGGAGTACGGAATAGACTCAATATCGCCGGCCGAAGACGACGGCACGTATGACCTTCTCCGTCGGCGCCACCGGCGGTAGCGACGGTGGAAGTGAATGAGGTGGCGCGAAATTAGCCTCGAGTAAGTGATTAGAACAAAAGCAGCGGCGATGACGACGACCATTGCGATCAGCGGTGGACTGAAATCGACGCGTAATCTCGTCGTCTGCGGCGAGCTCGGAACCGGAGGCGGCGTCTTCGGCGAAGAGAAGGGGCGATGAGGCGAACTGGCGGAGTGTGACGGTGCATGGCGAGAGATGTTCCGATGGTGCGAGGGCGTAATAATGGGGGCTGTGTGGTTGACCATGGTGATGGTGAGGAATTTGTTATGGCGGGCGGAGGAAGTGTTTGGAGGGGTTTAATGTGAAAAATTGAAACAGAGGAGTGCGTGCGTTTCTGCGCTGAGTTGACTCGCGAGTCAGGATTGAAGAGAAAGGAGGAGTATAGTAGTGCTTCATCGCGGCGTTGTTACCATTTTGCCTGCGAACTTAATGAGTTGACACGTCAACGTTTCTGATTTGCATGCAGTGGGGCTATGAAGCACGGATACTTCCCTAGGGTACCGTATCAGATACGTTTCCGTATCTGATACTTTAGGATACCCGTACCGTACGTTCCCGGGCCGTATCTGCAATTTTTAAAAGTTTCCATTTTTTTTTTGTAATTTTTTGAAAGTTTCTGATACTCGTATCTTGACGGATACCCGTATCAACCTTTTTTTTAAAAAAATCCCATAATTTACTTAATAAAATTCTAAAAAAAATTGAAAATCTAAAACTACATTTTACTTGGTAATCAAATAATGGGCCTATATGGCTATATCCGAATTAAGTCATTAAATCATACTCCGAATTGGGTACTTGCACTTTTAATTTCAAGATTGTAGTTGTTTGACTTATTTCTCATTTTAAATTAATGACTTATTGACTACATTTATATTTCGAGATGCACTAGTGTATATGAGAAATATATTATGAATTTATTACTAAGTATCTTGAAAAAAGAAAATGCTTCAATGCAATGAATAGATAGACATCATAGGATATTATATGTATATATATTTTTTCAAAAAAAACTATTTTTAATATTTATAAATAGACCCCTATAACTTTTAATATTTGTAGATACACCCCCATAACTTTTAATATTTATAAATATGGCCCCGTATCCGTATCCTACTTTTTTTTGTTTTGACGTATCCCCGTACCCGTTTCCGCGTTTCCGCGTTTCCGCGTACCGGTATCGGTGCTACATAGCAGTGGGGATATAAATTTACTATTCACTATCTCGACTTTATATAAAAATTATTTTACTTCCTCCGTTCTTTTTTATTAGTTCTTCTTTCCTTTTTGGGAAGTTTTTTTTGTTTGTCCTCCTTTCCCTTTAAGAAAAGTTTTTGAGAAAATACCTCCATTTTTTAAACTTTTAACCCACTTACTTTTTACAAATTACTTTCTCATTCCTACTTTACCATCACTTTATTCTTCTTAATATACTCTCTTTCATACTTTATCATCATTTTACTCTTTTTAATACACCATTTTTCCTACTTTATCATTTAATCCACACACTCTATACTTACCCTACTACTTTATTATTAAAACCTGTGTCAAACCCTAAGAGGACTAATAAAAAAGAACGGAGGTAGTAGCATTATAGTCTAATACGGAGTATTATTTTTTCATCAATGTAAATATATGATGTTAATTTCATAAATAAAAATATTTTATTTAAGCCCATGATAATATGTGGGATTCATGTTAAGAATAGATAATATGGTTCCATTTAAGCCAATGATAATATGTGGGATTCATGTTTGACGACGATGAATGTAAAAAATATACAAAGGAGCCAGAACTGTAACATAATATCCAAGTTGTCAAGTTGACCATTTAGATGCCAAAATGGATTCAAATTGTGTTCGATAGGGAAAATGATCTTGTCTTCAACGGTGATTAACTTGGTGGTAAGAATATGAGCGATATTAGGAGCCAAAAAAACTGTGGCTTGTGATAGTGTCCAAGGACATCAGAAATAGAAAAATCTCTATGTGCGGCGACTTATGATACTTGTAGGTGAAGAGGGAAGTGCTGCAAGAGAGCCATATTGTAACACCCCTAACACCCCGTCCCGAAGGGGCCCAAGATAGTATAGAGTGTAAGTACGAGTATCGTCTCCACATGGACGAACAAAGGGAAACAGGGGCGGAGCCACGACTCCAAAGAAGGCTGGGCCCGTATCTAAAGAAAGTACCCGCCAACCACTTAAACAACCTCGATTAAAAATCACAAAATTTATATTTATATTCTCAATTTTTATACAATTGAAATTTTGGTTGATAAGGACGCGCAGGATATTTAAGGTTTTCACCTCACTTCATTCCTTCCGTCTAAGGCCGATCATTTTTTTTCACGAGATCTCTTTCAATCTCAACCAAAGTAAAAGATGACTAATTTTCAGCATTACAAATATTGTGGTACGTTTGGTGCTCGTTAGTCACTTTATAGACTACTAACAATAGTAGCCGGTTTAAAAAAGAATGTAAAGTTTTTTTAGGACCAGAAAGAATACAAAGTTTCTTTAATTTTCTTTAAATGAGGTTGTTAAGTGCCCATAATCTCTTCTATTAAATTAAAATATGTTATTAAACTCAATACAAATTATTGAATTGAAATTAAATGAAATAACAATTTAGTAAGACAAGAACACGTTTGTATTCAACAAATATAAACAAATCACACACGGAGTATAATATACTATCTCCGCCCGAAAAAAGTTCAGCATATTGAAATTTCTTGATCGACAAAACTTTGGATAATAATTTTGATCAATATATCTGTATACAATTATAGATGATCTTGTATTAAAAAATATCATTGGTTAAGTTGGTTGTTACAAATTTCGAAAAAATAGATTAAATATGGACTTTTGTTAGGGTCATACTGGGCCCTGGCCCAGGGTAGATTGGGCTAATGATAGTTAGAGTATATAAAAAAATAATGAAATAATAGAAAGGCCCAGTGGTAAAAGAAAATTGGCCCTGTGGCCTTTGCAAGCTTGCTGCCTCATCCGTGATATGAAAACGTAGACACTCAACCTAGAGTGTGCCCTATTGTCCAGTGCCCGTGCAAAGTCAAGAAAGGTAGATTTCCAATTTTCTTTTACCACTGGGCCTTTCTATTATTTCATTATTTTTTATATACTCTAACTATCATTAGCCCAATCTACCCTGGGCCAGGGCCCAGTATGGCCCTCCCCTCCCTCCGCCAGTGAAGGGAAATTAGGGTCATAAAACTAACCTTAATTCATGGAGCAATGGTTAGCGTTGGTCACTTGACTAAGGCCTAAGACCTAAGTGTTAAGTTTGAACATTTTGGTCGGCGTTTATTTGCTTTACCAAGTGTCAATTTTATAAATTTTGTTATGATTTTTATCTACCTTTCTTTCTTTTGCACGAGCACTGGACAGTAGGGCACACTCTAGGTTGAGTGTCTACGTTTTCATATCACGGATGAGGCAGCAAGCTTGCAAAGGCCACAGGGCCAATTTTCTTTTACCACTGGGTCTTTCTATTATTTCATTATTTTTTTATATACTCTAACTATCATTAGCCCAATCTACCCTGGGCCAGGGCCCAGTATGGCCCTCCCCTCCCTCCGCTAGTGAAGGGAAATAAGAATTAACTCAATTCAGCAATGAAAATTAAATGAATAAAAATAAATACGATGTGCGAGATTGGTTGGTTTGGAAAATTAAAATGCAAACTGACGAATAAAATAAATTGGTTCTTTTTAATTAAGGAATAGGGATTGATTCCGAGTTAACCAGATTTCTAGCATATCAGACTCAATTACATGAAATTAATTTGATTGAGCCTAGCTAATCATTACTAAATTCTTACCGCTCTCGCGGCGTAGAGTACAATAATTTAGGGGACCAGGTTGATCTCTCATGCGACAGGATCCTAAATTATTGCCAAGACGAGCGAGCTTACGTCCCCTTAATCGCTACTAATCTCTTAGCGAACGATTAAGTGTGTGTGAATGTGTCCTAGAACAAATTAGATCTCTCTTAATTTATTCTACAAGCATTTGTAATTCTAGCGGGCGTTCTAGGTTACAAGAGATATCAGTTAAATTATTCAAACACAAATTAAACGACATTCATGCAATTAATCCATCAAGAAACTAGCCATACATCATGATTAACCCCTTCATCAACCCCAAATCCCTAATTAAAACTACTCACAATTCAAAATTGAAGAATCAACAGAATTGAGATGAAAAGAATTAATTGTCATTAAATAAAAAGATAGAACTTACACAAAATCCATTAATCTTAAACAACAGGGCTTGAAAAGATCTCAAAAGTTGAAATAGGTTTTATCTCTCTACGCTCATAAGTCAAAAACAGGCAAAACAATGGCCTGTTTATAGAAAAATCCGAAAACAGGCCAAAACTCAGACCGCACGCCGTGCCCGCACGCGTTTTTTCCGTCTCTGACTTTTACTCCGCTTGCACGGTGTGCGGGCAACCTCACTATGCAACCGTGTGGGCACTCCTGGGGGCTATTTCTAGACCGTGCGGTGTGCGGTTCCGGCCGCGCGGTATGCGGTTCAGACCCTTTTACTTCTTGCTCTCAGAATCACCCGCGGGGCGCACGGACTGCTCTAGAACCGTTTTCTTGGTATCTTCAATCTTCAACCTTCCAACTCTCAATTCATGCCTTTAAATCATCTCGTGGACCTCCGATGTCTCTCGCTAGCTCTCGAACATATCCCGAATCTTCTCAACTTTAGCTCAAACGCCGATGTCGGGTCCAAATTCCTGATTTTCTCAACAAATGCAAACCAAACCCGGTAAACCTTGACTTGAGCTAAATAAACACTTTGTGAAGCAAATAAATTAGGAAAATTGACAAAACTCAATCTCAACACGCATCAAATGCATGTTGAAATACGAATTTATCAATTTCCTCACACTTAAGCCTTTGCTTGTCCTCAAGCAAACTGAACTTTGGGACTTGCAATAATCACCACACGAAATTAAGAAATTGTGCATGCACACGTAGCTAGAGGGATACCCACAGAAAAGGTAGCCTTGATCAAGAAAATTCTTCCCTAAAGCATTTCTTTGTACTCTGGCTAAAATACTAACAAGATTAAACACAATATCCTTGAAGTTATGGCTGAAAACACAATTAAACTAACTATTGATCAGAAGGACTTGCAAAGGTGACGGTGAATGGTGAATTTGTCACTTTGCTTTGAAAGATTGGAGCAACCTGAGAATGACTTAATGTGTCGGGAGTTTCGGGGGTATTCTTTAGGATTAGGGAACTCAACAAGACACTAACCAAGAACTATTACTATGAAAGGAGTAGACACAGTGTACAACTAAGCTAAACCGTCACTGTACATTGGTGCTTTAACGTATATTTGAAGTACGCGAAGGACTAATGCTAATTTTGTAAAAGCCTCCAAGTTCAATTAATTAAGTTCAGCTTTCGTTGTCATGTTGGCACGAGAAAGCCATTTCTTTCAAAAGATATCCAAGTCTCATCTTATTATGCGAACACTTACGCTTTTTGACCGGGCTCTCATTCTCTTTTTGCAAGGCAAGAGATCTAGCAAAACTTAATTTTTTCTATTTTCAGATTTTTACTAGACATTAATCCATTCTAATCTCGGCCTCACCAAGGAAAATTAACAATTATAGTTTATTTGATCAAAGTGAATCCATGTCTACAATGCAATCATCAAAAATATCAAATTCCTAAAAAGTGACTGCCCTTACCCCATTTGGGACATAAGAACAGTGCCAAGAGTGGCTCCTACCAAAATTCCCTACACTTAGCAAATTAATC